ATGAATCTCTCGTTTTCATTGCCTACCACATGGGTATTGTCAGATGTTCACCCACCACGCCTCGCCTGTCGGTCGCCTCGCCCAGGTCTCCCATCAAGGAGGTGGAGTCTCCGCGGCGTGGCTCCGCCCGTGGCCTCAGCAGCGGAACTGGGCACCTTCTGTCCTCGCACATGTGACGAGAGAGAGAGAGAGAGAGAGAAAAAAAGAAGACGGACGGACACCTTTTTGTTGGAATCCAAAGGGACAGGTTACAGGTTCACAAGTGCGACATTCTGAATCATGGACATGAAGGCCATCCACCGTCTAAGTGTTCGTCACGTGGTTGATTATTATGCATCATGGACCATATGTATCCTGGATATGGCATACTCTTTGGTGACCCTAGTACCCTAGGTGCATCAAGGTCGCACCACCCTCCCAGCGACCGGTTGGGCTTCTTTCACCACTCCTGGCAGGGCGCGAGTGTTTCCAAGTCCTTTGGTTCGGGTGGCCCAAGCAGGGAGGGATGGAGATTTCACTACTAATACATAGTCATGGACGTGGACATCCACCCGTTTGCAGAGTTTGGTTTGGTCATCTAAAAGGTCATGTTGGACTTCCATGGTTTTAATAAGGATACATGAGGAAAAAAAGACCCAAGTGAAGCTTTTGCCCTTAAAACCTGCGTGGACATGAAGTTTCCATACGTCCTTTCTGAGCCGGACTCGTCCAAGGAAGAATGACTGGCACATGCACATTGATCCTGGATGGCCCTAGATTCACAGATGATATATGGCCAGATGGACCATATGGCTTTGTTTTTGAACATCAGGTGCTCCTGACCAAGGGATTTGTGTTCATCATTTTTCCCCGAATGTCGCCATCTGGAATGCATCGCAAATATAACCTGGCTAGACAAGTAGCAACAGCCGCAGGTGCTCTGCTTTGGATCCATGGTGCAAAGGAGAAGCGTTCTTGATCACAGTGTATAGGTGATGAGGCGCTGCCATTGATCGTGCAGGAGATTGTCACCAGGCAGTTCTGCAGCTTTGGCAGACCTCCAGCACTTGAGGGGAACAACCTCTGCCTGCCAGAAGTGGACTCTGCCAGACGCTTCAGGATGGACGAGGTGTTACCAAAATGGCCAGCAGCAAGCTGCTGTGCAAAAATTTGGAGAGCCAACGAAGATCTGAAAACGTTCCCACCAGGAGGTTGTGCTTTTCAGAATCAAACGATAAATATTGTACAATAGGACTATATATATATATAGAGGTCCAATGTTTGTCTCAAACCATTGGGCCAGCTGGATCAGATGCCGAGTAAGGAATCACCTGAAACACCTCGCATTCCCAGGCCTACTTGTCACCCAGAAATTGGACTCGCAGCCCCTGTGCATCAACACCCAACAATGATAGCTTGTGTAGCTGTTCATTTCCAAACAGAAACAGGAAAAATCACATCAAACCGCAAAATCCATCGCCCCTTGGCTCCCGCCCGTCCGCCCAGACCCGGACCCCGTGGCCACCCTGGCGGCGGCGGTGGCCGCCGCGAAGACCGCCTCGCCGCGGAACGAGTCGGGGGCGCCGTGGGGTGGCAGGAGTCGGTCGTTCGGGTCGAGTTGCTGAAGACAAAAAGAGATCGATGTCGATTGTAGAACTTACTAAATGTTTGTTTTTGTGAAGTGTTTCGGGTTAGATGATGTTTTTAAACATAATTTGTGATATTTGATATTTGTGTCATTTGTGGTGAGTTCAGGATGGACAAACCCAATATGGCCACTCCTCCAGATTCCCATGTCCTTTCGGGGTCTGGTGTGACAGTTCCCTCATGTCACTTGGGGAAACACGTGAGTTTGAAAGTGACGAAGGAGCACTGGCAGTTTGCCTAACCTTTTGGTGGATATCCAAATCTTTTTGGGGTCAAGGAGTTGGATTCCATCAGCGAGGAAACTGAAGAGGAGAATGGTATCGGTACAAATGATGACGAAATGGAATACGTGTTATGGAGTTTACATGTGTATAACTAATGTATTTTGCAATTGTATATCTAACATCCTCATACTTGCAGAAACCCAAGAAGAAGTAGGCAATGTGTTTGGGTTCCATAAGACAGACAGACATTCTTGACTCAGCCACGGAGTGAGAGCTCCTTTTTTGCATGGGGGTGTCTTGGAATAGGGACCCCAAGCAATGGGATCAAGTCTATTCTTCCTTCACAAGAGGATCTTCGGGCGGTCACCTTATTTCAATACACGAATACACGCCCACATTATTTAAGCTCTCAAATCTCTCAAACTTGATTTCCCCATTGTCGCTTGTAGACGCTCTGAGCATCATGGCCAAGCGCGTCCGGCTATATAATGCAATCATGCAGATGTCATGTGGGCACGTGATGTTGCCAATTGTCCAACGGCGGATTCATGGCCTGCTGCTGGGGATGATTCTTGGATAGAATCTTCATCATGTTCAAAGTTTCAACCCTTAGCCGCTAAGCCTTAGCCACATAGCGTTGGCCGTCTCACCTCTGGTGAATCCTCAAGGTCGTCACCATGCCATACGCCGCAAGCTGGAGGGCCCAGCGGGTAACCGGGAAGCGGAGATGAGCGAATTGCAAAGGACTTATATTTACATGGACTTACAGTGCATTCTACAAACCTGGACGTCCTTGCCAGTACGTGGTGGAAAGCCGCATTCCAAGTTTTTCTTCTTCCCGCTGGTTTTGTACAGCTTACTTTGCTTTGACATGGAAACTCCAAAAGAGGGAGGACTGAAAACCGCTCCTCTGAAAACTTTGCTGATACTTTCATATCCTCAGTTTTTCTAGACAAAGCTGGAGACCAGCAGACACAGCGTAATTTTAATATTGGGATTTTGGCGTCGTCGGCGCAGGTCTTCTTCTTTGAACATCTTTGAACCTGTTTTGTTTTCGTGTCCAAGCAGACCTCGCATTTTGAACCTCTCAACTCGATCACCCTCAGTTGGACGTCTCCGTGGAAGCGGAGAACGATGGAAAGGGTCTGGGGCTCGGTGGAGTGTCACGGAGTGGGATGAGGCCGAAACGACCATCGTGAAACGTTGGAAGCATGGCCCTGCCGCAAAGCCATTGGGTTTTCTGGGCGACGGGCGCTGCAATCCCCACATGTCTAGTGCAGGTCTTGGGCTTGTGTGGGCTTCCAACATAAGATTTTTGGTCGGTCAAAGGAATAGTTTCCCTCTCACCTTGCATGATTGGCTGAGGTCCCGAGCACGGAAAGAGCTCCAAGGCAGGGAGAAGCTGTGAGTGACATGACGAACCCCAAACGGCACAAAACCATACATACTGTAGAGACTGTAGAGCCCCTTTCCTTCTTTGTTGCTCTTGTTTTAGGGTGAAGGCCTGGAATGTCTTGCTGTGATCCGCACGACACTGAGAGCAGGTCAGAGGCAAGAACTTAGGTCCGGAGTGCTTTGCCTAGACGGTGATGGTGGCAAACATGCGTTTCGTATGCATGGAATTTGAGGTCAAAATCCCTTCCAGGTCTCCTTGCAAGGACGCATTTGGACCTGGAGGTCCATTGGACTCATATTCGTCGCAGAGTTGATGAGGTGGTGCTGGTGAACGGCATTGCGCCCGGAGCTCGATAGAAACCAGCCGGAGCTCGGTGTTGGTGGAGGGGTTGCCTTGTTTTCACACTCGATGTCTCTTCAAATCACTCCAGCGGTTTTGAAGATTGCCTGAGATGAGAGCACCGAAATCCACTGGAAAAGATACTCGTCATCCACAGGTTGACTGGGTGGGCCTGGGTGGCTTGAGGGTGGTTTCTGCGTTCCTTTTGCTCTCCGCCAGGTTTGTGTTGGCTCACGAAGGTATGCTTGACAGATGTACCGGTCCGGTGATGTGTGAGAGTACCTTAGATATGTATAATTTTAGTGTGCTTGACAAGACCCACCAGAAGAAGGAGCATTTTGCCTGGTGGTCTCCCAATTTCAATATGCACGAGGGATCCACCACTCCCGATTTCCACGTGACACATGACTTGCAGAATCTTTGACACGGGGTCCAGTTCATTTCAACACTTTTCTAAAACCATCCCTCAAAACCTTGAATCCGAAGATTGCCACATCTCAGCGAGGATATGCACAGCTTTTGGAGACTTGACGTATCTCCGTTTGCGTCTCTTTTTCATTTGATAGGACATCCTTACGGTGGACTTCCAAATGTCTGAGGTATACCCAGCTCAACACCATTGGACGTGGTGGAAGCTCGAAGGCTGTCGCTTCCAACTGGGCTTGGGCGGCGCTTCCAACTCGGTGCTCCGACTCGGCTTCGAAGAAATGTGGGCCTAACGAGTCAATGTGAGAGAACAAGCACCTAGAAAAGCTATATCAAAAGCTATGGAGTTACTGTTATATAGTGTCCAAGAGTCTAGCAACCAAACCATGCCACCAAAGGTCTTTAGAAGAATTGCTTCAATCTTGTGAGTTCCAAGCGTTCTGAGCTGAACATGGGAGGAGGAGGAACCTCCAGAATGGTTGTTGTATCGCCTGGTGAACGATCGCTTGGCACTCACGATGAGAACTGCCTCACTTCTTCGGAACAGCACCACTCCTGATCCACAGACCACGCCTTTGAATGTTGGAAGAACACGCTGGGACCCAGTTTTGACCTCGCTTGGCCATCTAGGTGCATCCACCGTTGAGATTTTAGATGCAAATCACTCGAATAGGGACAGTGACCAAAGCATACCAAAGCCTTTGTTCAGCATCAAGAAAAGAGGATCTGCGATCTGGCGCCAGGTCTACTTGGTCCAGGATCCCACCGGAGAGATCCTGGCGCTGAAACGCGTCACGTTGGGGTCCCTTGAGGTCGCCTGGGGGGGGCGCGCGCCTTGTGGCTCCCACCAGACCTGGGAAAAGCTGTCGGTGGAGGGGACGCCGGATCGAACCGGACGCAGCTCGAACCGGTGGCTATACCAGGTCATGCGGCATGTGTTTTTTCCGATGTTTTTCCGATGCGGCATGTGTACCTGTTTTTGAACAGCCACACTTGCTTCCAAATTACGGATCTGGGTACAAGTCCATTTGTTGAAATGACATCCTGCTGCAAGTTTTGGTTGACTGCACTGTGTTCACCTGTGTGGGAAAGGAAGGATGCACGAGTGTTGAGTGGTCAGTGCCTCGCAGCCGCTTCTCTACAGTTGTTAGCTTCTGCTCTGAGCGTCGATTTACTCCGATGGCAGCTACTGTGAAAGTCACAGTGGAAACCCCGTCGGATGTCGTGGCGGATGAGCAGTTGGGCATTGAGAACACGAAGCCAACTCCAGGAGAGTCCACGTAAGATGCATGCGTACCATGAGGCTGGCAACCCAAGTGATATTGAGAGGTGCATCAGGCAAGATGCCTTTCTATGTGTTTTCAATCCGGGGGGGCAGTGGGTATGACTCACATGGCCGTTCACTCATGATCCCCCACTGGTGGACGAAGCAACCATGCGAAGCCAAGCTCTCATTCTTTCCGGTCATTCTGGATGTTGGTGGCTCTGCCCTGGTGTTACCACAACCTGTTTCCAGTGGCTTAGCACCGGCTGCTCCCCAGCTTTCTGACCACTACGACCGATCTTCGACCGCCAGGACAGTGCGTGAAGGTCAATGAGGTGTGCCTTCCCACGGCGGACATCGAGAAGTTCGTCAACGCAACTAGGCTTGGTTCAATCGAGGCGGCTTGGGAACTGCACGCATCGAACTCCGGCCATCGGTCTTGGTCAGGCGAAGAGGGTGGTGCAGATCGAAGGTGTCCGCGGTCGCGGATCGAAGATCGTTGGAGTTTTTTTTTGGGTCGTCTGCACTTTGTAGTTGGGTGTGATGCATGGGGCACAAAGCCAGATGGCTTTGGATCAAACTTGGAGCACTACCCAAACCCCAGAAAAAGGACCATTGCTCAATGCCCGTACTACTCATCAGCCATGCCACTCCTGGGTAACTCGCCCAGGAATATCAGGCACTCAAGAACCAGCTTAAGCCCGAAGAGAAGCCCAAATCTGGGAAAGAAGCCTCTTGGTTTGGAAGAGGGTAGCAGATTGACATTAAACAAGACAAATTTTCATTCACAGTCTTCGTTGCTGCAGGAGTTGCTCCGCGCGCTTTTAGCTGAAGCAATTGGGACAGGTATGATCGTCTCTTGGATGGCGAATACTCCGGATGTTCGACATTACTGATTTGAGTTTTGTAATATGAGGCCATCGCTAGTAGGTTGGAGGCCATCGCTATGAGATGTTTTTCCTTTTTCCGCTTTTTCTTCTTTCGTTTCTTTATTTTCCATTGACGGACACGGAATGGTTGCCAACCACGGAATGGTGGCTGAGACTCGCGAGTGACGGTGAGTCAAACGGGGCTGACACCCACCCGACTCACATGATCACTAAGTACACCCCTGTGGAATCATGGTGACGCGGATGGCCCCGCCTGTTTGGGCCATTGGGGCCATAGCATCCACTTCCGTCGACCAGGCCGTTCTTGGGCGGGTCGTTGATCCTTCTCCGCACCAGTCGCCCCCGAGCCGGGGATTGGCCAGACAGATGGGCCGAGGCTAAGGGGTCCCCGTTGGATGCCCCCACCCATGCCAGAAATGAAGGATTGAAAGTGTGCTGAGAAACTGAGGTTCTTCCAAGATGTTTCATCTCGTCAAATCACAAACTGAGCAATACACACCGATGGGTGCTTCGTGTTGTGTTTGTGTTGGGCTTGGAAGCTGGCCAGAGGGCCATGGATGCTGTTCACACAAAGCCAGACGCTTTGGACTCCATTAGAGTCTCGTTAGAGCACACCAATAACATCCAAGAACTGTCCAGATTGAAACCACCACATCGACGTGGCGTAGCCGCCTAGCCAGGTAATTTTTGGCTGTGGCTCTGTCTGCGCGTCTTTGTCAGGGGCGTATCAAGGAGTCTGGCAGGTGGCGGCAGTTGCTCGGCTGTTGAAGGGCGTGGGCTCTGCAGGCTCAGCACCACTGGGTGGAAGAGACACTAGTTGGCATAGTGGTTGTTGGGGGGCGTGTCGAGATATTACTCGGATTCCAGCACCAAACTGCAGATGTCTGATCCCTTGAGATCCCTTGAGTAGTTAAGTTATGTCAAAGGAACATAATTGCTGCTCCTCAAACGACTGCTCCATGTATCTGTTCATCTGGACAGTAAGCATCCCATCTGCTTTTCCAATTATACAGTCTGCATTCTATATAATCTATGATCTGTACTGCTCCACCCGCCATCTGCCCAGGGCCCATCCCGTCCCCCATCCCGCCCCGATCCGCACCGGCGCCGCCCAGGTCTGGGGCTTGGGTGTCTCCTTGGCCATCTACGCCACTGCCGGGGCCAGTGGTGCGCACTTGAACCCCGCCATCACCTTGGCCTTTCAGCTGGCCACCCGGAGGATGGAGGAACCACTCCGGTTTCGGGAGATGGAGGTTTGGATCGGTTTGGATTCGTTTGGATTGTTGAACTGATTGGAGAAGAACATGCGGTGATTACCAGTTCGGTGTTCTCCTTTTTTTGGACTTTCTTTTGCTGCACTCACCGAACAGCGTCCTGACTTTGCTTGTGCGTGAACACGGGGCCGGTTTGGCTTGGATAGGTTTGACATGCGTTTGAGATTCGGTCTGACAGTTTCTCACCCGGAGGTGCCCACTGGTGAGGTACTTTGATTGTGCTCTTGCTCCAGAAAGCGCTGGTAGAATCTGAAAGGTCTTTGTGCATGATTCCTCATGATCAGAAGAACCGTTTCTCACCATTCTCCAGTCTTTCCATGTCTTTTCATCCATTTCACCTCTCAGTGTTTTTCGTGGAACCTGAACAACACCCCGAGGTGAGGCCGAAGGCTCATGGCATGACCTGGTTGAAGTCGGCGCAATACGTCCTGGCGCAGATGTTGGGCGCCATGTTGGCAGGCGCCGGGATCGCCGAGCCAGTGGCGCCGTTTTTTTGGGCGATCCAGCGAGGGCGGTGGGGGGGGACCGGAGGAGGTTTTGGGTGGGTTGTGGATGGCCAGGTGGTGGCCAAGGGGTGGCCAAGACGGCGACCAAGGCCAAGGTGAAGGGATTGGATTTGAGTTGTCCATCTCACCTGAAAGGATTGCTCTTCCTTTGAAAATCCAGTGCTGCCACACCTTCTTCACCCTACAAAAAAGAACATCACCGACCAGTCACTGGAATCTTCCTCACAAGGTCTGTAGAACATCCTCTGTCTGGGTGAAGGAGATTCCCTCCTTCCATAGCCTTTCTCAGATTTGGAGGACATCCTGAAGCCACAACACTGAAGCACTTCACATCACTTCACTCACAAGTTCCATCATCTTCACCTCTCTCCACCGCCGTGGCCGATCTCGCAGGCGCCCTGAACTTGCTGATCTACAGTGGCACGATCGCAGCCTTCGAGCGCGAGCAGGGCATCGTCCGCGGCGAGCCGCGCTCCATTTTGTCTGCTTCGGCCTTTGGGGAGTATTTCCCCAACCCAGGAGCCTGCGAGCGGATAGAGGTGAGACGAGAGGTGGTGGGTGACATGACTGACAAATGAGATTGAAGACATGAGGTCCCTAGTGAGGTTGAAGACATCAGGTTTTGATGTTGGATGGCCGTTCGCAAACCTTCGTGCTGAAGATGGGACGTGTGATAGTGTGGCTTGCGTGGTGAAGGGGAACCCTAAATGGCCACATAAAAGACTTTGATTCCTAAGTTTTCCTAATAATAGGGTTGTCATTTTTCACTCGTCACATCCACTGCACTTGCTCATGTATTTTTGCAACATGCCGTGAGCACAACTTCTTGGATGCATAGTTCCTCATCATTGGCAGCCCCAAAGATGATGATATGCCCCCAAACCCAATCGCCTTTCAGCGAAGAGACATGAAGGGAGGCTGGAGTGGAGGTCAAGGGCTGAAGCGAAGAGCATCCGAATCATTGTGAAGGAAGAATGTCTTCATCCATATGACTCTGCCAGGACTCAGCAAGGAATATGGCAGCGGGCCACACGCACAGGAGGACATGGATCTGTGCTGACTTTATGAAACTCCAAAAATAGAAATCTCTTACTGTAGTCGAAGCAGCTATTTCATTTCAACTTCCAATATGCCTTCAATAGGAATACAGCCTCCTAGTCGAACCACGTCGAACCGGCATGTTGAGAGCATGTCCTCCTCCCACATGCCTGGAAAGCGAGGATGTGTCGGTGGTACACGCTCTCTTCACCGAAGCCTGGGGGACCTTCATTTTGGCCTTCGTGATCTTCGGCATCACCAACAGCAGCAACAAGGTCTTGGGCAGCTGGGACATCGAAGCGAAGAACGAACGACACGTATTGGAACACGAACAAACGAATGAACGAACGGAGCCATGAACGCTGTGTGTCTTGGTACCCCAACATCTTGCAAAATTGGGTGGTCATGTGTGGTCTTTGAATTTTGTTGGGTTCGTTGTGATCGCACAGCGTCCTGGCCACGATCAAAGACCCAAGACCCGCACAGCGTGCCTGGGAGAACAGGAGTGGATGAACACCGCACAGTTGGTCGAGCCTGACCGCTGCGCCCTTCTTTGCTTGATTGATGTAAAGATGTAAACCCAATGCATGGCACCAATTCTACATTTCATTACATTACTGTTTACATTTCTATAGACACATGATGAGGAGAAAAAAGGGATCTTCAAGAAAACCAGATTGACTATGGTTCCTGTTCCAATCGTTGTTTTGGGCATTTGAGATATCTCCCTCTGTGCTTTTCACGCCCCTGTTATCTGCTGGATGCCGGATGACTCTCATCTGAGGCAGCATGGAGCGAGTGGGAGTGCCTTTCACCATTGGCATGACGGTGCCTTGGCGAACTGACCCAGAAATATATCCCTTCAAACAGGTCTAAGGAAGGGCCTTTCTTCAAAAGACGGCTGTTGCCTTGGAACGAGGAGAGTTGATGAGCTAAATGGTAAAAGTTGTTGTGAACATCAGGCCTGCTCTGATTGCGGCCCTTACAGTTTATTCACATCAGATGTATTCGCTTCAGATCAGATATTGTAGAAGTGGCCTGACTTATTCATCACTTGCTGGAACTGCCACCAGGTTTCCCTAGTTGAACCGATTGAGCGGCAGGTGGCTGTGCTGCTTCCCCTCTATGCGCCAATCACCCAGGCACGGCAAAGGACAGTTGGCACAGATGGCCGGGTGACTTCTTCACGACCAAACATCACACGAAAATGCATAAGATCTAAGTATACATCTCTTTGCCAAAAAAGAGTCCCTGTGGTCGGGTGGGGGAGGGCAAACCCCAGGTGTACCTCGACAAAGTGGCATCATTCATTTAGTCTTGCGACATCATGACTCAGTGACCCATGAACAACTATCTTGGCTCCTTTTGGACACAGCTGATTCTGCTCTTTTTTCAGTCTCCACCAACCGCACGGACGGCCAGGCAGGCTGGAACCCCGCGCGCGACTTTGGGCCCCGCATCATTGCCGCCCTCGGCGGGTGGGGCTCGGTGGCCATTCCCGGGCCACGTCACTCGGCGACGCGGGGCGGTCGTTTAAGTAGCGTTTCTAGCTCCGAGAACCTTTTGGGGAGCTCCTTTGAGGTGTTCTGTTGGGACCGTTGCCCCAACTCCTGTCTAGTGTCTTTTGGCCATTGTGTTTCGGCATTTTTCTCGTCCTTCGGAGCTCACAGGCAATGGCTTTTGGATCTACATCGTGGGCCCCTGCCTCGGTGCGCCCTTTGGAGCGGCCTTGGCCGAGAAGGTCTTATGGCGTTGAAGCTGTAGAGATGCGGACGGGATTAGAGGAGTCGATGGGTCCGGGCGGATGGAGCACCAGCAGTGCTGCTTGTTGACTCCGTGAAAAGGAACAGCAGCCGATGCTTTTCAGAAGCTGGTCCGGTCTTGTTTTGTATAGGCCTCGCTCTGGAGGAGCGAGGTAGTTTTTCGTCCCAAGCAGCTTGGGTTGTGGCTCTGCTCTGCCGAAGGTAGCAGCATGGCAGCATGAAGAAGTGCAAAGGAAAGCAATGTGAGATGATAAAGTTGCCGACTGGTTCAGCACGGGAATGCAAGTGCGAGTGTGAACAGGCGCCAACCACCTGGTCACGAAACCCTGTGTTATTGCTAATTTTTGGAGGGCTTGGGGAGGTCCAGGGCTTGGATTGCATTCTAACTCTACTTTGATGAGAATGTACAATGTACCGGAGTTTCCATGCCGACCCTTTCTAGGACAGCAGGGTACAACCCCCCAAAGCCAGATGGAACCAGCATGAAACCTCCATGGACCCCTCCCCCCAAAACCACATTGCTTTCATCTCTTTTCACCCAAGCTCCGACCCGAAAAGCTCTCCAAAAAGCTTCAAACTTCACACCCAAAAACGCCGGTGTTTTTGCGGTCGGCGTCTCCACCGGAACTCCAAGTCCCGACCGGTCCTGCGAGTTCTCTCACCCAGGACCGAGAACTCCAAGCAGCTGGAGGCGCAGAGGAACACGGTGTTCGATGCGAATGTGACGAGAGAAACACGGGTGGAACGCTGTGGACGTTTGTCCGGCCGATGATTCGCACGAAGACGAAGGTCATGGGACGGATAGTATCGAGTGATTCTTTGGGCAGCCAGGGGGTTGAAAAGCCAGCGGAAGATCTGAAGATCTCCACATTTGGAAGATGTTAAACCTTACTTCTTAGATTCAGAAGTGATCCATTGTATGCGAAAAGTACTATACTATTATTGAATGTCTGCCCACTGGTGCAAATAAGTATCATCATCCTTGCAATTTTTCGATTGTTTGTTTTCTTGAACTGCCTCATATATTGACTGCAGAAGAATGAACACCTGGCATCACCTGGTTTGTTCAGGGAAGCCTGACCTTCCAGAGCATGGAAGCAATGAGCCAACGCACGGTATGAATTCCACTTGCGTTCATGATTTTATTTTTTCTTTTTTTAAATAAACACATCCAAGAATCCAGGACACTTCAATGACTTCAAGAGCCGCAACTCATTTTCCAGGTTTCTCTCACCAACCCATGGCCGCTGGAAGACGCAAACCCATTTTCCTCCGTCCCCCGCTCAACGAACGGCCAGTGGTCCGACCGACAGTGAGGCCTTTCAGAACGAGGTGGTCCTCCTCCGTCAGCTGCGGGATTGCGACTCAGTGATCCAGGTGCAACCCGGTGATCCAGGTGTTTGGAGATGGATGAGATAATGCAGACTCTTGATTATCAATGAATGAGAGGGATCTGAACATGTATGTAACATGCCCTAAAGCGATGTCTTACACATCGTTTTAGCAATGTCCTCTAATGGACAGAATATGGAACTTTGCAGAATCGAGGAAGTGCAGCACACAAATCGTTTGTTTGGATTGGCCCATAATCTATAATTACCTACTTGATGCTACCTGATGAACGACTTCACCCAGAACCAGAATCCCCTCAAGAGATTTCTTCACCCTTCACCTGCGACTCTTCACTGGGCGGAGGTACATCGCGCGCGACATGGTGCGCCGGCTCGTGTCCTCGCCACAGGTGGTCGACGCAGAGGTGGACCGGGAGAGGGGCCGCATCAACATCGTGATGGAGGCGGAGAGGAGAAGTTTTCGTCCAAAAGGGCCCAAAGGGGGAGGGGCAAGTGGTAGAGCGAAGAGTTCGCGTGACGTTGCTTTCGTGTTCGCAACCGTCCGCAACCGTTTGAATGTGATTGATAAGGCCGTGCCGTTGGATGGAAACCTGAAGTGTCAGATTCGTGTGAAATACATAGAAACGTAACATGTTGAAGTGTGAAGGATGATTTTGTTGCGCAGGTGCGACGTTTCGTCAGAGATCAGTTTCTTTCGCTGTGCCGGATTTGCTTGTCGTGCCCGTGCCTCGAAGCTGTGTTTTTGTGACAGGTCTCAGCTAAAATTTAAATCATTGCAATTTTGGTTCATGTGCTCAGAAAGTGTCGAAATTATTCCAAGCGTGTGGTGTAGTGCAAGTTTTGCTGAAGACATGAAGGTGTCATGTCGTCACTTTTCGTGACGTGTCCAAGTTGAATTTTTGTGGCAGACGTCGGGAGTCGTCAGGTTTTGACGTTTGGGGGAGTGCGGCTTTGAGGGGCTGGGATTGCGAAACTGCTTGGTACGGCTGCTTGATGTGTTCTCTCTGATGAGGCTTCCCGCTTCACTTGTGGAGGATGAAATATTACGAAGTGCTCGTTTTCAAAGCTTTGACGCGTGAATTTGGGAGGAAGTCTCGCTCGAAGTGCTCGTTTGGATACTTGATGCGTGACTTGTGGGGGGGAAGTCCGTACGAAACGCTTGTTTGCGAGAGTTGACGCCTGGGGGCTGTGGGAGATCTGGGCCCAGAAGTGGTATGCGGTGCGGCGACAGAACGTCCTTTCAAGGGAGTGGAGCCTTTCCCAAAATCGGCTTGACAATTTTATGGCCAACCGTGAAGCCTCTTCTGCTTTTTGCTGATGGTGGTTTGTTGCCAGGTCACACTGGATTGCCAGGTCAGACACGCAGACTTCTTTATGCAGCTTTAAACATTGACTGCCTAATTCGGTATGTCCCTTGTGCCACTCCCACTCGCGCATGAGTGACCAAAGTAGAACCTGTGAAGTTAATTCAAGCAGCAGAATATTCACAGGCACTTCTCACTCGGGATTTTGACCGACTTTTCATGATTTGGAGCAAACGTGCTGAAGTCTTTCTTTTTGAAGCCGGATTGCAAACTTCGGAATGGAAAAGAGTCTTAGGTAGAGCATCTCACCGGCAACCCAAAGAGGGGCATGTTTGCAACAAAGTTTGTCTTCTTTGTCGGGAGCTCAGTTTGCGAGGAGGCGCCAAGCTTAGCTCGTTTATGGCCAAGCAGGGCTCCGTCAGCTGAACGCTTTCGCTGTTTGTCTTCTTTGTCGGGAGCTCAGTTTGCGAGGAGGCGCCAAGCTTAGCTCGTTTATGGCCAAGCAGGGCTCCGTCAGCTGAACGCTTTCGCTGAAACGGGTTGTCTGGGCCCTTGTGTATCAGTTGTGCTTCGGACCTGGTCGAGTGCACGCACTGACTAGTGGCAAAAGAAAGGGGATCGACGCAATCCCAACACATGGAGAGGAATTACTATTTACCTCGGTCGGATCGAAGATGGTGGCAAGGATTTGTGCTCATGTGGCTTGGTGGAAAGTGCGTTGCGTGGCTCCGTGCGACGGGAAACTCGTGTGTAAATGCGGTGCGCGCTGGTGAGCGGGATGATTGGTGGCGTCAATGGGCCGGCGTCACATGGCTGCTTTTAGTCCGTTGCAGCGAAATTTTGTCCCTGATATCGGCGTGCCATGCGGCTTGGTGCGACCTTGGTGGAACGTGCATGGGTTTGCGTGTCTCTGTCGTGCAAGAGTGTCGTATATACGAAAGGGTCCGACGAGAGCATCTCCCAAGATTGTGCGACAAGAGTGCCTGCAAGGGTGCCCCATTAAAGGTTCCCGCTCATTCTCAGCGCGGGTTGGAAAATTCGCGCCGAAGTGGGTTGGACCTTTGGTGGACCACCTATTTAAAGACAATAAGACACGAGGTCCACCTTTCTGGGGACGGGGTCCTCAGAAAGAGGGCACCCGCAAAGATGGAAACTTGGGGAGATCTTAAACCCGAAAAGTCGCATCGGAACGTGTTATATAGACATTGACATCCTTCATTAACTCGTTTCAACAATTAAAAACTCTCCGGGCCGAAGGGTCTTCGGTCTTCTTTCTTTTCCCCTTTGCAGAAACCCTTTTATATAATAGTGACAGTGATTCTTCATTAGACGAACAACTACAGTAAAACTGTCGAAAGGTGATGTCGCTGTGCCATGCGGTTTTGCGCGGCCTCGGTGGAAAGTGCGATTGCGTGAGTCCATGCCATTGCAGAAGGAAAACATGCTGGTGTACTGTAAATGCGGTGTGTCATGGTGCTCGGACAGGGTGGACAGAGGTGGACTGTATCAGTATAAGGTTGTTCAGGATTCCAAGGACTAGATATATACATGAATTGACTTCAGGACATTCTACTTGCCATCCATCTGTATAAATCTAAGACGCGCAAGAAACTGCATTCCCTTGCTGTTGTGGCTCCGACCAGGTTCCGACCCTAATAAAAACAACTCCACCAAAAGCGGCAATGTTCGTTGACTATAGTCTTAACAAATATAAACCGTATTTAGGGGTCTCCGACATGAAATTTGTGGGCAACGTTTTAAAACGAGGGTCTCGGGATTAGTTTGCTAGGGCTGCTAGAGATCTTTTCGTTTGTGGGGTTGTGTGTTTTGAAGGAAGGGATTCCTCCTTGATCCTGATTCGGCAAGTCTTCATGACACTGTCAAAAGCAGCATCGGTAGCTGTTCCCTCTACAAGATTGAGGTGATCCGATAGACTCATACACTAATATTCTGGAAGGGTTTGCAGCCATGTTTCACTTTGCTAAACGCCCTTGATGTTTTGACCTATGTATGGAACCTGAAATCTTGCCAACTTGCCAGCAGACCAAACATCTCAACCCTCTTAACCTCCACCAAAGAAGGCCAGCTGATCTCAATGTCCAAGTTCATGGAGACACACGCCAATTTTTCAGTTACATTGGGATTAGATGGCCTGTTTCCCATGAAAGGGATCACAACAGATCCCCGGCTGCCGTCACTGATCCTTGCTGTTTTTGGTTTTGGCAGGCGGGGGACATGGACCTCGGCCGTTTTCTGCAGTCCCAACCGAGGCGAGAAAAAACGAAAAAACAAAACGGTTGAGCCACGGTCGGCGAGGTTGGACAGATGGTGTGGTTGTAGGCTTGTAGGGGTGCCTCGAAATAGGGTGCCTCCACAAGTGCTGAAATGTGCAGACGTTTCCCTTCTTCCACTACATGCAGTTTCATTCTTAGGCTTTCTGATCTCTACTGTGGTGTCTTTAGTTTGTTTGTGCATTTTCCGCGGGTATCTTCTTTTCAGCAGCTGCACTTTCAAACCAGCATGACTGAACGTTCGACCCACGGTCGCAGCTCACCAATGGCGCTGTTATGGCGCTGTGACGGCGTGTCGGAGGCTGAACATGATGCAGATCCAACACCTCTGGAAGCAGATGCTGGAAGCAGTTCAGGCGACGCACAGTTTGCCGATGATTTCACAAGTTCCTTTTGGGAGTCGTGACACGCTGTGCGACAGAAGTCCATAACGAGGGAGGGTTTTGGGTGGATGGGTTGAAAAGACCCTGCATTGGTTTGGCTGAAGAGGGTGGTGGGCATGCTCCCTTTTTTGCCAGAATGGTATATATGCCTTTTCATGCCTTTTCAAAAGGGCCACTTGCATTGCAGCCACCGACTTGGCTCTCAGCAGGTCTGGCCCCGCGCGCTGCTTAGAGCGCGTCGACCCCCCACACCAGCGCAAGCTGCGGGTCCGCTGGGTCCCCGGTGACCGGTCAGGTCATTCACCAAGAACGCATCGTGCACTCAGTGAGGGGGCCGAGCAGGGCCGAGCAGGGAGTCATGCCAGGTTAGTTCAAGAACACCTCCCCAAAAGGTGTGTGAATGGGAATCCATGGGTATCCTCTATTGCCCTCTGTCCAGAGAACTTGGTTTCTAGAGTCTAGAGGAAAACCTATGCTTTTTGGGGGTTCGCCGTGCAAAATCTCCAGCTTGCGAGACAAGGGTTTTGGTCGTGTGTTGGTGGGATTTTGGGACTGGCATCCCCAGTTTGCCTTCCCAGCATGCCAAGATGTTCTTCTTTTCTGGGTCACGCCGGATCATCCACTCAACACGCCTTTCTGTGCCGCACATTCCGCATCATGCGCACGGTTTTCACCTCGAACGGACCGCACTGTTTGGCCCAGCCCAGTCCGTCCGCGTTTCGATCTCAACGGAGACAGATCCGCGTTCGTCATCCGCATCATGGCCCGCGTCGCAGCCTTGTGCATCCTGGCAGTGGCCCTTTGGCGCCACAGGGCGAAAGGGGGTGCAACATGCATGGGAGATGGAAACATGCATGGAGCAATGGCTCCAAGTGGAATGGACTTGCTATGGTTGGTGGGACTATGCGAAGTTGTGAAGATTCAACCAAGATCAGCTTCAAGCTGAAGTGTTCTGAAGGGAGAATTCAGCCTCTTCTAGGCGGATTTATATCTCTGGTCATTCCATTGAGCAGGATCTTTCTGAGCCTTGCTACCAGTATGTTGGTTCAACAGAGAAATCAATCGAGTCCTCCAAGCGATCTCCTTTTTGTTGAGGCCCCCATATAGATAGAAAATGGTTTCCAATACATTTTCACAGGGGATTTACTTTATCATGTTTGGGGTCATGGCCACTGTACATTTGTCACAAGAAGCCTAAAACTAATTGAAACTAAGTTCCTTTCTTCTCCTTGCAGTCGAAGAACACCACGTGGGTCGTTTCGCCTGCGGCCAAGGCCCTGTGCTTCCTCCGCAACATGGCCTTTGTCCCGGCCCCCGCGCGAAGCGCTTCCGTCGATCCCGCAGTGGCGGCAGGTGCGGTGGTGGTTGCGACTGCTCCGATGAGCGCCGAAGCGTTTGTCTTCAAGGGCCACTTGGAGATGGAAAGGACAGGGATATTAGGGACTAGAACAGGGAGACGGATGAAAAGCAAGTGAGATTGCATGCGTTTTTGGCTCTGATTGGTTGAAAGGAGAACTGTCTTTGGATTACTGGGTAGTTGATGAGTTTTGTTGATTTCCTGTCACCTTGAGACGCACCGAGACCTTGAAAAGGGACATCTATAAGTCTACAAGATTGAGATGGGGACGATGACAAAGGTCTCAAGTACTTGGAAGCCGGCTGACTTGGCTACTCCCCTCCCTAGGGGGATGATGGGGATGCCTTGTTCCTGCGGAGTTCTGCTCATCCTACTCTAAAGCCACTTGATAGGAGCCGCCAATTATGTCGCATTTGGACCGTGGACGCCCACCCGACTGAGCAGGAGATGAGACAATGAAGAGTGCAAATGATTGTGAATATAGCGGGTTCAGCTGCTAAACACTGTCTCCTGTTTGCTTTAACTGAACATGATTACGGGGATCGATTGCACTCTTCTTTGGCATGGTACCATCGTTCACCCCGGACAACTACGACCACTCACGATTTGATCCAGCCACGCATTCCGAATCTGTAGGTGCAGATCTCAAAGTGGTTCGTTTCTTTTATTTTTTTTCTCAAACCGGGAACTATAAATTACAAATAGCTTGAGCAGTATTGCGACGACCTGAGTATTTTTCTGGAAGGGAGTCAACTTCACTGTGACCCTCTGACTTTGCCGTTCCCTCTGAGGCAAGGAGTACTTTGATGTCTTCTATGGCATCTTGGAGCTAGAAATCACTGTTCTTCGCACACACGGCAAATGGATCATCCACAACAAAGAACCATCACCATCTCTTCAATCACCACAGCGCGTTGAAAGCAACGGACCACCAACCTCGCAAGAGATGGTCGTTGCTTTTTCCTCAACACACCGCCATCTCGAGGGCATCAGCAAATCCGGAGGAGGTGAGCTTGGACAGGGAAGTTTCCTCCACTAGTGGCGTGCACACACACACACACACACTACCGGTCATTAACATAAAGACATGGCAATTGGATGAATAGGTATATACATATAGGTACCTTCTCAAGAAAAAATATTGGACAAGCACGTGTTTCAAATGTGCTTACTCACCAGAAGGGACACCCTTTTTGGATTCCGATATTGTTTATTCTTGCAGCCTCAACGAGCCGGGAAAACCGTCGAGCTAAACTGGTCTGTTGCGGGACGGGTTTTGTGACAAAGACCCCAAACTTTGTTCTTGTGAGGATATGCTCATGCCTATCCCACTCTGAGCCTTTTGCATCAACAACTTTGGGCCTGCAATCCTTTCTGTTTGTGCCAGGCTTCAACAACCTGGTCGAATGACCCCTCCGGCGAGTATTTGAGTTGTCCGCACACTTGCAGGAAGATCCAAACAAACACAGATCCTCACCACCTTTTTAAATAGTTCGATCACTTCCCCCTGCCTTGGTTCGATCCTTGTTAGACCTTTAGGATGATCAATGATCTCCTTTTCGCCCCAAGCAACGACGGACTCGGTGGAAGAACGAGCCCAGGCATCGAGCCGTTGGCGTGGGCCTTCTGTGGCTTCGTCATCGTCTACTATGGCGCGGTGGTGAAGAACGCGGCACAGAAGTGGCCTGAAAGGATGATGTGGTGCACCTTTTTTTGGGGGGGTGAAGAAGCGTTAAGTTTTATGTAGCCTTTTCCTTGCAGCTGAAGGTCGGCTGAAGCCGCTGAAGGTCCCAAAGGTTGGTGCTGTGACGTTATCATATAGCAGTTCGATCAGAACACGAACTGGCGGGTTTGGGTTGGAACTTGCGGCTTCCGTCATCCAAGCGACGCGGGTTCTTCCGAGCCTTTGTGGTGCAGTCTTGTTTTTTGGGAGAGGCACAAGAAGCTACTAGTAACAAAGGGCATCGCTACTAGGAGCAAGAAGCCACTAGTAGCTCCTGGCATTGCTATATACTAGTAACAAGAAGCTACTACTAGCTATACGCTCAGTGAAGATGGTTGGGAGATGAGTGGTCACCCGAGGGACGCTGGTGGAAGACGATGGAAAGAAGACGGTTGGAGTATCACAAGACAGGAGTACCATGGAGTTCCATGGAATATCGTTGATGGTTTAATTAGGCATAACTTATGGAGGATGGTCTGCATGTAGAGAGAGGAAGATGGTCTCCGGGTCTGGTCCATGTCTAGCGAAAGAGGATCTATGACATGGATTGATTCAACACTGTTGGTGCAGCGGAAGATCCATCTCTCCAACTGGTGGATGTTTGTTTTTTTCCTTCAAACTACCCAAGTTTGCCATATCTTCTGGGGAGGCCTTACAGGTCTGGGCCACACATGTGTGTGACATGCGCATTCTGACTTCGCAGCTGCGGCTTCACCAAGGTACAACGTCCCCATCGCGAAGATCCCACCTAAGGTTGGAACATTTGTGGGCAAGGCGAGCACGGGAGCACGACCAGTCATCGGCAAGGGCTTTCGACAGATTGGTGGACAGACGAACGGATATGGAACACGTTGAAGACCCGGCCATCCAACACTTCTTAAAGTGGGTGTGTGACTTTTCAATTAGCATGTCGCCCTCCCCAAAAGCAACAAGAAAATGTGTCTGGTTGTGTTTCTGCTCTGGCCTTTGAAGCTGCGTTTGATCCAAAACGTGCCCAAGAAACAGTTTTGCAAATAGAGTCGCAAAGGAGCCCTAGAGACAACTTCATTGCCAGTGGCCAAAACATGCGGAGGAATATCAAATATCTGATAGATTGTGTTGATCGGAGACTGACATGAGGACGCGAGCTTCCAACTTCTATGGTTGCTCACCAAACATCCAAGGTTTGTTGGGGAACCGTATTGAGTTTGGCCATCCCTTCTATTTGCTGAAGTCTTCCTCACTTGAAACGGGAATCAAAAGCTTACTTCCATCGCTCAAACGAGGCACGTCCCCTTTTACAACTGAGGCGAAGTTGCCCCGTTGGTGCTTCGACTCAGAAGCACAGACACAAATCACCGGAGAAATTCTCTTGATCGGCTATATATATATATATTATATTGATATATTAAGTGGAAGCACAATGGATGTATTTGGAAGGTTGGGTGGTTTGGATGATGTCCTTTTTCATTGAGACCTGGCGGTAACGTCATGAAACCTCCTGTATAAATTACATGCAAGTGGCATCCCCTGCTGTTTATTAACCAGCAAGTAATTTCATTGACCAGCAAGTCCTGACTTGCTTCGTGGCATCCCCTCGGAAGCTTCGTGACCTCCAGGAAGTTGAGGTGGAGGTCCTGAACCGACGCGGCATTCCCAAGCAGTAAGCTGCTGGCCCGACGGAACAGATGCGGCTGGCCCGACTTTTTTGGAGCTTCTCCCTGGTGCATTCGACACGTCATGACTCGCGAAGACAACGTCACTCGCGAGGCTTCGGGATCAAAAAGGGGTGCACGGTGGAGGCCGAGATGGGACGTCCACAGGGCCCGGGGAGTGCATGATTCGAGAGAGGGAGGGAGTGGCAGGGTGAGAAAACGTAGACGTATCATGATCATGAATGATGTCTATGGTCTATATAAATATACAAATATACACACTGCATACGTGTACTGCAGAGTTGAGTTGTTTTCTTCAATCGCAGTCACTTTTGGTTCCTCTACGCAGAGTTCGTGCTAAGGACTTGAAGCCTGGAAACTTCCTGCTCATCAACGGGCGCTTGAAGGCACACCGGGGACCGCAGCGGTCACCACCGGGACACCACGATTCTTAGGACCAAGACTTGCCCGATTGGCGGAGGAGGGGAGGGACAGCCCAACACCAACTGCTGCAGTGCTGTGAAATGTCAGTGATGGATGTTGGTCTGTCAGAGACTTTGCCCCTGGTCAATGGTTTGCTGGTTGGGTCGACTGCAGCGGCCGTTCTGACGTTTCCTTCCAAACTTGACCGGACGTCTCTTTCAAGTGCACATCAAGCATGCCTTTTTGATGTTTTCAGTTCTGACATCAACACAGATCACATTGAGCATGATATTTTCCCAAAACAGGTCCCCCCAAACTAGGGGGTGGTTTCAGCTGTTGGCCTCTCCGTTGGTTCTTCGACTGGTTCTTTGGGGAACAAGCAGTCGAAGACGCCCGCCAGCTACGGCCAGCTGTCCGACCGTGAACACACTGCTTTTGGGTGGCTTCCCCAACCCAACAAACCCTTGAATTTGCTTGAAATCGACTCTGACCGGATGGTCCTTTCCTCCCTCCCAAGAAAAGATCCCCTCATCTCTGCCTGGTTGACACTGTTCGATCGCCGAAACAGTACTACAACAACAACGACAACAACACCTAGTCGGCACCAGGTGATCGACTTTGGGATTGCCAAACGCATCTCCAACGACACCACGAACATCCATCGCGATGCCTCGGCTGGGGACGCCTGGCGCGGGTGGGTGGATGTGGCCCTAACCTGGGAAGACGTGGACGCTTTTGGGACATGAACATGGTGGACCTGGTGCCTTGAAGACTGATAAGTCTGGCATTGGAGAAGTATTAAGATATATTAAGATGGCTGGAAACAGTCATGAGGCCCCGGACAATCTATCATGATATTATATCTATATATATATATATAAATGATGTTGGTTCTGAAGCAGGTGGAGTGTCATAGGATGAGTACAGTGAGTACAGGCTCAAGCAGGCTACAGAACAGAGCTCTGCTTCAAATTTCAGCACCCTGCATCCATTTAAAGTGCCAAGTTGGGCTCAAGTCGGCTTTAGAGTGGCTATACTTTGCAGATCCAAGTTTGGCTCCTCCGGTCGGGGGTGTTCATGAACACCACCCCACAAAAGAAAACCACCATTTCCCGTGAGGGAGTGAAGCTGCTTTTCCGCTTTTCATGCCAAAACCCGCTTCCCGCTTCCCTCTCTGGACAGATCAAGCCTCTTTCGCGAGCCCACTTCTACCTTCCAGGTGGGTACCTTGAGCTACATGGCTCCTGAAGCTGTGAAACAAGGTCAGCTGGACCCTCAGACGGATCAGTCCACCTGGTCGAGGTTGGCGAGGGAGGGGGACTGGCGCGACGCGGGAGGTTGGCGCGGCCCGTGGTCTTCGGGTTCAGAGGTGCCTGAGTCTCGAGTGTTCTGCACTGGTCACACTTCTTAGGTGCCATGGCGGAAGAACTATGCATCAACACTGGCAATTTTCACAACTCAGGGTCGGTTCAGGTGAAAATGGGAACAT